ATACCTAATTGTCCATGGTTGTACCCCAAGTCCACAGTTCCTACTCCACAAGCTGACACTGTCTTACTTGCCACAAGGCCAGCCTGGAACCATATGGAAGTGAATATGAAGGTATTGCAGAAGTATCTTTAACTTACCACATATATCATAATGCCTAGGAGCTCAGCTATGATCTGAAAGGTTTTGAGTGGCATGGATGTAACAGAAGTTTTGTTGGAGGTGACATGCATCATCAATGCCAAGCAATGCCGGGATCTGTGGGCATAGCTGCACAGGGAGAATGAAATCACTAGGAAAATATCCGCCAACCTGTAATTTATTCATTTAGGTACTATATTTGCTGCACGGAAAATCATTAGATATGCAGTTTGCACCATAGTCCCTGTAAGGATTTGAACCTGTAGGCTGTGACTGTGGGAATGTTGAAGGTTATAGCAAAACTAATTGTGGGAGGATCCAGCATGAAAATGTGTGCTGGTTTGTTGGAGGTGACATGCATCGTCAATGCCAAGCAATGCCGGGATCTGTGGGCATATCTGCACAGGGAGAATGAAATCACTAGGAAAATATCCACCTACCTGTAATTTATTCATTTAGATACTATATTTGCTGCACAGAAAATCATTAGATATGCAGTTTGCGCCATAGTCCCTGTAAGGGTTTGAACCTGTAGGCTGTGACTGTGGGAATGTTGAAGGTTATAGCAAAACTAATTGTGGGAGGATCCAGCATGAAAATGTGTGCTGGTTTCGAAAGGATGGTTCAATCAGTCGTACCTCCTTTCGGAACCGTAATGAGACTGACTTATAAGTGATAACAGGCCCAATTGTCGATGGAAAGGCTACAGGTTGGGTTATCAGCTAGAGGCAATGCACATAAAAGATGTCTGGACTGAAAACACATGAGTGTATGCAATGTAGAACAATATAAGAACGGAATGGAGGTTGTGGTTGTGATTATGGTCATAAGGTAAGGAAGGTGAGGTGCATTGTCAGTGCCGAGTGATGTTGGGATTCACGGGAACAGCCGAGTTAGGAAAAGTAAAGAGATAGTAACTGAAAGGCTTACCCTAAACTAACATAAATATTTAAGTATATTCTTTTATATGATATCCATCTCCCACGGAAGATCGATAGTGATTAGGGGTGTGAGGAAGGACACTAGAGACTGTGCAGGAGTTTGCATGTTCAGATTGTGACTGTGGGAATGTTCAGACATAGCCCAAATCAAACTGTGGGACAATCCAGCACAAAAACGGGTGTCGATATCAAAAGGACGGTTTCACCATTCAGTCGTACCTCCTTCCGGAACCTTAACTATGAGACATTTTCTGAGAAACTGTAGAGCAATATGTACTAGTGCAGTCTCCATGCACTGAAAGTGACTTGGTAGGGGATGGGGCCAATGCAGGAGAAGAGAGCCAGGCAGACTTATTGATGTTCTTCACTGGCGAACAAGGGGAAATGGCTGATGCAATGGGTCCAGGGACCATGTAGAAGCGAAACACCATAAGCTTCATACAAAGGAAGATTGAAATGTAACATACCACTAAGATTGCCATTGGATACTCCCTCACCGTTAATCACTCGCGCCCCTTCTTCATGACCTATTTTGGCTGCGACATCTTCCAGTGGTTGGGTGGTAGGCACTACAAAGTGCCAAGCTGGCGGATCCATTGTAGTGCCCATATCGTGAAGCCTTTTATTGGTCCTGCATTGAAATATAAAGTTATTGTCGTGAGATGATGTGTAACATGGATCAACAGCCAATGACATACCCACGAAGCTTCTTGTCCACATCATTGGCTTTCGCTTCTTGATCTTCTAAAGCCTTTTGCGCTGCTGACTTATGACTACCCTTCTTCAGTACCTTTTTGCCCCTTCTATTCTTATCAATGTCCTGGGCCTTCTCAACCTCTCCATTGGTTAAAGTCTTGTCCGTCATTACATTGGTTGGAGGGTTATTGCTCCTAAATTGCAAGCATGTTCTATGCATTGTTGTACGCGTAGTCACATTGCTGGACTGTTCCTCGACAGAATCAGCAAACCTAACTTGTTGTTTAAACATGGGAAGTGGCTAGAGCAGCAGGACAAAAAGGTAGAGCAATTACATTGTGGAACACTGTGTGGACGAGTTGCATGGGAAATACAACGAATACCCGTGATGGTGACTCTTTGTGTCACATCGTGGCATGCCATTGTACAATGGCATTCAACATTGTTCAATGAGAAGTGGACCATTGGTGGGTAAACTTGCATAGACTGTCAATATTATCTTCACAATGGATTGATGTCTTCCCCTCTGAACAGCAAAAAACGGGCGCTTAGTTCTTTTATGGAAGGTGCATCAGGAAAACAGGCAATGGCATCTAATTTTTCCGTAGCACTACACAAGCTAGCAAACTTCTACAGAAATAATGGACTACTAGCATTGCTAGCTCTCGCTACAGGTGAATGAAGAAACTCCGCTGGTTTGAACAATTATAAGCACCAGGTCCCACATCGCAACTTAGCCTTGTTCCACCATCTCTCCCTGCTCCTTCAGCTGCATGCATCCGCTCATTTTGTGACATCCAGATGAAGGTACAACTGTTAGCTCTCCTTTGTACCTCTACAAGAAGTTGAAGTGATTGCAAGAACTCTTTGGTCAAGGAGCCGACTCTCCTCGTCGTTGGTGAGTGTGGTGCACACCAGTATTTATTTCTTAGACTCTTAGTTGGCAACTTTTGAACTTATTCATCCGTTGCATCCATTACTTTTAGACTTTGGCTGCTCACTATGTCTTTGAAGAGGGAGAGTTGGGGACTGGTTCCTGGGAGAGGCCTATAAGCCTTAGGTACGTAGCTCATGCCCTCCGATAGTCATATTTGCCAGCTAATATAGCAATTCAGTGCCTATGCAGGCCTAAGATACCACCTCATAATAGAGTAGTACGAGGGGTTAAGAACAATAGAGGAAGAGAGAGCTGCAGCAACAGGCAATGGACTTCGAGGTATGTCTTTATCTCTCCCAAATGGTTATAGAGCTGCTCTAAACAACCTCTCATTCTAGCTACAGATGCGTGCTATACAAGTAGATGGTATCCTTCCAAACCTTGCTTCAATTTCCTTCCCTTCTAATCCGCTTGTGCTCTGTATGTCAACCGCCGTAGTTACTGGAACCTATTCATGTATTAAATACGAAATATATGCTTCGATTTTCCATGAAAGTACTGTGTAAATTGCATGAGAATTATTGTATTAAATGAGTAATGAAAACTAATAAATATGGTGCTAGCCATGCATACTGAGACTACAGATTCTATAGTTCACTGCATAGACATCTGTAGTGCCAGTGGCCGCTACACTAGCCTAAAATGGTATGAGTTCCCCGGAAGCTATGGAAACTACTGTAGTGTACATAAATTACAGAGGCTACGGTCTCTATGGATGCTATATAGCCTCTGTAGCATTTGCCAAGTTTCCTGATGTGACCTGCCATAAAAGGCAACTCTATCTGTCATGCCTAAAATGCATGAACTTATGATCGATTTACTACAGTATATACATTTCAGTGACAGTGATGGAAAGTATGGCAAGACCTTACCAATACGGTCCACCTGCATCATTATCCAAAGACAGAGTCCACATGTGTTGAACGTGTGATGAATGTAAAGGAGATGGGGAAAGCTTGGGGAGTTTAGGAGACAATGACCTTATTTGTGACACTGATTCCAGTGATCTGAAGACAGAAAGAAACTTCTGCAGAGTAGCATGGCGTCCTTTATATATGCAGGACTTTACTGGATGGCCGGGATTGCCTGACATGGGCTAGCAGATGATTTAACTATAGCGGAAATATAAAGCCAATAAAAAAAAACACATTGAAACCCCCAGAAGATATGTGAAATGAGTTGGAGAAGGGGAAAGAGAGATCAGATGGGAATATTAAAGCACAGTATCTCTGCTTTTATAATTTTGGAGAGAGCTGTAAGATTAACATGTGATCAACAGTAAAGATCAATGCATGTGCTCTTCAATCTCCCCAAAGAGATAACAGGGATAATGATTCTGCAGCACCACCACACTCCTTTTATACATTTCAGAGCATATGAGCTCCAAAGAACACGTAATAGAGGTGTGGGGTTACCTTGTGGTGTTGAACGCAGAAACCCAAACGTCAGTTCTCATTCTGTTTTGCTTTGAGCTACCTACATTCTAGCAATGAAGACCTTCCTGGTGGACAAAGGGAAGAGCTTGGAATAAGGATTATGTAAGGCTAATAGTATTGTCATTGGTTAAAATTATCTCCGATTAACTTATGGCGTGGAATATTCTATATTTTGATCTCCCAGTGAACATACAGACCGGCAAAGAGGAATGGATGGAATTTGCTTCAGATATGTTCGTTTAGAATGATGCTGATGTTATCCTGTTTGATGGCTTGTCTCATTATGTGAAGAAATAAATGAGCGCGTGTTAATTACATATACTGAATATAGTGCTTACTTACCTATAGAAAATTGTCGAATGCTCTAAATTGTACATTCAACTTCAAACTCTGTCACTTGAACCCAGAGACTGTCAGCGGGAGAACAGCAGATCTGAAAGTGTCATTCATGTTAAAACTTTGTAGCACCATATGTAAATAGAGACTAAAATTGTACTCACTTTCATCCCAACTACCTGGACCACGAACGAAGTGACGGTAAGTCTCAAAAAAGGATTGTGGCATTTTTACCCGAACAGAAGGGTATACGAAGTGGCCATGTATACGCAGGAGGATACTGGATGAATGAAGAGATGGACATTGGAACGATGGAAGTGAACGGAAGAGATGTCGTAAGCTACATGACGATCTGGAATCGGCCTGATGGCGGTATGCTGTGATCTGGTATTGGCATTGGCTGCCACTCGCCCCACAAAAATGATTGTGTCTTTGTATACCATGCATGAGGACATATATCAATCAATACTGAACAAATAAAAAAAATTATTACCAATTTCACGGAGGAAAGGCAATTGCTTCAAGCGAGAGTTGAACTCACGGCTGATCAATGGCAACGACCAAGGTTACCCCTACCCCATTGATGTGCTATCACTTGGTAAGCTTAGTTCCATTAACCACCGGCAATCTAGAGCAATGCATTCCAGCCTAGAGATGATGTAAAATTAAGGAGTTAACTTGTTAGAATATGATGAAGTGGTGAGTATTTTTTCTTCATCCAGATAGGAAAGTATTTAAAAAAGGGAAATATCAATCATACATACGTACTTTTTGCACATAGCTCAGTGCTCCAGCTACGACTCCACCCTATACCCATGGGACTGGGACCTTTACGCTAGTTTTCAGGGCCACAGGTGGTGTGACTAGTTGGCTAGTGTCTGAGTAGGATCCCATGGCATCCACTCAGACTACACACATCCGATTCGACAATTTTCAAATACATTTCAGCTAATAACCATGATTCCATCTTGAGGATCAGAAAGAAAGTTATATCCCGTCTCCGGGAAATTTCTAAGATTAAAGTTGCACACAGATTAACACACCATGCTCTTTTGGAATATATGAGATAGAATTCAAATGCGACCAAAATTACCTTCAATCCTTGATAATGGCTACCTAGCAACTTGACATATTGCTTCTTTGCCTTTAGGAATAGTTTTAGAGAGTCGATGGATTTATCATTTCGTGCTCATATCTTTTGCTCTCCATGGAAGCTTAATGACTGAATATAAAATAATTATACACTTGTTCAGTAGCAGCGTAAATACATAAATCCACGCACAGTAATGATAAGACTGCATTAAAGCAGCTGACGAGTAAAAATTCCTTGAGGGTCCCACTCCTCCTTCAATGCTTTGAGCTTTACGAGGCGATTGGCGTCCCTATACCTACTCTCGATAGGATCATCCCTCGACCAATTGGGATATGTTGCACGCTCTTCAGCAGTTTGAGTGCCATGAACTAACTCAAACACGTCTTTCTCAGCATTATTTACCTCTTCATGTGACTTTGAATCTGTATACCACGAAAGGAGCTCCTGCAGGCTTTTTGTCAAAATAGATAACAATATAGGGTTTTGTTATACGTACAGCCCATATTTTGATGTCACGGTGACTGAATGCAGTTTCATCTGTGTGATGTTCACCCTCTGGCAAATACGCAGTCCATTCCACAGCATAACAAGTCAAAGCAGCATTGGGACACTTCAACTTCAATGCCTCGTAGTGATCTATGACCTTCATCCATACATCTGGATCCAAATTCGGAGTCGCGGCTCCAGTAAGGCATTTGAATCCCCCTTTCACACAGAAAGCGTCTGCGGCGTCATTGACTTTAGAATATGGAATACTGTTGCAAGTTGAAAAAGGTCGAAGTGCGAGAAGTGGTGCAAAGAATTTCTCTGCATCACTCGTAGGACCGAAATAGGTGGGTAGGACAACAATACACATTGTGTCGAACATAGGAGGTGCCGAGGTAATAAGGCATAGACCAGCTGCCGGAACAGTATTATTCTCTGTCAACGGTATCAGTGCATTGAACACTTCCTCTGCCTGCGAAATCTGGAACAGCATCATACCGGTCCACACAGTTCTATCAGACATTTTGAGAATAGAGCTGGGATATGCTTGAAGGGTTATTTCGACGACAACACCAAAGAATTGACCAGCTCCACGAATGGCATACAGCAATTCTGGATAAGATGAAGGCGATAAGGTGATGAGATGACCTTTGGCAGAAACCATTTTTGCGGCAAGGATATTGTCCGACATATATCCACAGAGACTCGACATTGCATTCAAGCCGCCACTGATTGCCATCGGGATGATACCAGCGGTATTTGCAGATCCAAGCGTTTAGAATATAACTGTAAGACGATTGATTATGACAATGGGGATAGTTGCGCACGGAGACAAAGCCCTTCACTCCATGCTGCATCATTTGCTTGCTTGACGAGCACATCACTCTGAAGGGTGACAGTATTGGTGTTCTTGTCAATAGTGAGCTCTTGTAGCTGCGAGAGATCCAAAATGAAACCTTCAGAACCGATCGTAGACCAAAGACTGTGGCCGCCAGATTTTGGAACAAATGGAATACCCATTTCCACGGCAATTCGGACCTGTGGAGACAGACGTTAGTCTATGTATGATCCGCTGAAATGTTTTCTTTGTACACTGGCAACAACATCGTCCACTGTGCCGACAAGAACAATAGCGCCGGGTATTTGTTTGTTGATATCGCTCCACCTGAGCAATAGTGCATTGAATTCAGTGTTGTTGGGATCACTGAAGATCTTCGTCGTGTCAGACAGTTCTTTGGAAAGACAAGAAACAAAGGATGTAAGCGTAGACAATGACATGGTGCACGTAAAGGGAGTTACGAAATGGCAGCAGCAAGCTACTACTCTGTCGCTGTTCTTATAGCAATGCATACGGCCACGGATCTATAGCCATATCGAGGCTTTCTACCGAGTGATCCTTCTTCTGAACAAACCCAACGAGGCATCCCTATGCTAGGCTCGAGAGCAATCCTCATGAAGACGAAACCCTGATTGGCTACGCTTTTCAGCCGGGGCTCGGTGACCTCAGGCAGTCACCCACCGAAGGATTTATGCTGCAGGCGCAAGGTACATCCGATATCCATCTACAGATTGTTGTAGTCCATGACAGGTGTTTTCTGTTGGGGAAGGCTGTATCGGGTATCATAGCCCTTCTCAATTCTATCCCGATCGCGCTCCACCTAGTGGCACCGCATTAGCAGGGACCGCCAAGGATGCCCCAAGATTCGGTGGACCATGCTACTGGGCATGCAACTTGCAGGACATGCAGGACCACTCAGGAGCTGTTTTGTCTAGTGACCCTCTTGGCACTCGCTTGTCCTGCAATCAGCCACTATTTGATTTTGATATTCCAGCGACGTGACACGCTGCTTGTCACGCATGGCCCGCCGTCCATGCAAGGCAGCAAAGAACGCTATGCTGTCGCCACTGGCTGCGCTAGGTCTGCTTCTTCTTCAGCTCGCCGATGGGGAGATGGTGAACTAGCTGCTATGCTAGTTTTGGCCAAAGGAGAGGACGGGTGGGGCGTAGAAGGAGGTGGGTGATGGTAATGAGGTGCATGACCTTCCTGACAAGGGAACGGGGCTGGTGGGTGGCTAAGATACAGCAGCGCTGGTTGGCGCACAGGTGTCTGCATGACGGGATTATACCCGGCCGTGTGCTAGTGATTGGACGGCGGCGGGAGCACACTCACTCAAGCTGTCATATGGACATGTAGTCACTGCAGTCACTGATCGACCTTGTCAGCTTACGTATGCAGCTGTATAGTACTGTGGGACATGCATCTCAATTTTGACATGTCCCGATTTCACCGGTAGCTCGGGTTCCAAGCTGGCCACCTGCTGACGCTAAGCGAGGGGCAACATCACGGGATAGAATTGAGAAGGACTAATAAACCAGCTCGCACACTCGAGAGCACTTGGTGGAGTATCTGATACAGTGATGAAACAACCTGAAACGGGGATGAGTGGTGCGAGGGATAGTGATAGCCTCAGTCGAGAGCCATCGGAGATATCCCTGAAAAGATGGCGATATATTATTTGGCAACCCTTTTATATTACGAAAGCTCGGGATCAGTGTAATAAAATGGATGATAGAGATCCGGCCACACCTCACCTGAGAACCTGCATGCTAGACAGTAAATAGATAAACCTGCTACTAGGCTCGGTCCAGTGTATTGACATGACCAAGGAAAGGATCATGTTAACCGTGTATGCTGTAAGTAGTAGGTTGCATCTGTCGTACATTCATTCAAAGATGAAGAATCCTAATGATATGAAGGAATATATAATGCTGGGTATATCTTACTTGTTCACACCTATACTAACTGAACTCTAGTTATATTGAGTTGGTAGTACACAGGTATGGGTAAAAAGATATATGCTGGCGCCTAATGCACCGGCATGCTAAATACAAGCCGCTGTGGACACATATGGTGTCCACACTAATTATAACTACATCACTGATGTAGCTCATATAACTAATATATATATTAGTTATTCATTATATACATTATATAACATATATGTACATATCTATCTACTGATATAACAGACTATCTCTGTTACATCCTTCCCGGCTGACTGCTACTAGCAGCCACAGTAGATATCTCCCACAATCTGGTCAATATCCATAGTACTCTCATCATAGAGAGTACTATTAGCACCTCCTGCCGGTGGTGCTATTTCCCAGCATCTGGTTCACTGCTGAGTGGTGCTTCATCATATGGAAGCACCTGTTCATGGGCTTGGCCATAAGATTCCAAGTCTGCGTCCAACCGTTGCTGGCTGGACTCACCAGTCTTAGCTGGTGTCAGTGCATGCACCGAAGGCTTTGACTGCCTATTGGCAGTCACAGGCTTTTTGCCCTTGTAAGGGGCCTTCTCCTGCTCATGAAGTGCCATGTAGGTAGCACGCTCTACAGCGGCCGAACTGAGTGGCCGCTTCTCATCATCCCGGATCATGTACGGGATGATTTGATGATATATCTGTTCTCTAGATAGAGAACAGTGTTCAAGGACCAGTTTCAAGAACTCTGGTCCTTCCGGTATTTTCACAGATTCAATCTGTGTTTTACCCTTGATTCCCTTGGTGATTTGGGAACCGATGTGCAAAGGGAGGGATGCATCAGTGAGCCAATGGCTCCTATGCAGCTCCGCACAAAATAGATTCAGGTCAAATCCGATACACACCGTATCAAAGTTGGTACGGCTACCAAACACGTCCTTCATGTGAAGCATAACGGCTTGGCGGGGTAGCTCACCAATGACTTTGGTGAGCCAGGCAGCAACATCTACATCCTGTTTCAGGAAGTAGCCTTCGCTGTCTTCCCTGAGTGCATTAGGCACACTCATGGGATTTTGGTGCCAGCCCATGAGGGCTGTCCACATATATAGCGACCAGTGATCTGGTCGCGAGTCATACTTCCGGACTTTATTCTGGAAGTCTTTGTTCTCGTCTAGTTTATGAGAACGTTTTCGTGAATATGAGGCTTTGACTGGGGTGGTCAAAGCCGGACTACCGGTAGGCGACT